CGGGACTAATCATATTTTGGGTCAAAGCAATGCTTGATTGTTGTGGTTTGACCCAAATTCTAGTGGGTATTGGAGTATAAATTGGATGGGTCTTCAAGAGATCAAAATTATGGACCGAAGGAAAAAGTCATCGCGTTTTCGCTAGCTTGGAGCTAGCTGGACACTCGAGTTAGTCCGGTAGAAAACAACCCGAGACTTGGTCGCTCGCCGGCGTGCCCTGTTGCCCGAACGGGCTTTTTCGGCCTAAGCATGTTTTCGTTTTTAACGTGATTTTGAACTCTTATTATTCTACAACTTGTTCTTTAGGATATATATATGGCACGACTTGTATAGAAATTAACACAACACAAAAGAAAAAGATTCATACAACGTCTTGAGAGTTTTAGATTTCAATTGAGTGCATTTAGATCTTGTAAACACAATTGCTATTAATTATAATGGATTTCTCATCCTCTGTCCGTGATTTTTTCCCATACTGGGTTTTCACGTAAAATTTGGTATTTATTTTCTTCTTGTTTATTTCATTATCGTTATTATCACTTGATCCAAATTCATAACTAGTGGTATCAGAGTAATTCTGGTATCTTGTTTGTTTCATAACATTGATGATTCAAGTTACTTCAAATCTTAGGACTCTTCGATGTGCAGACAAATTTTATTTATAATCTTCTTTCATTTGATAAGAAGATCACTGTTTGAAGGATAATGAAATATTTTATTCTGTTGTATTTAACAGCACTCTTTAATTGTATTCATATTCTTGATTTTGTCACTTAACTGTTTCATTTTGTTTTTGTTTTTGTTTCTCATTGATGGAATATTCTTGCAGATGATGGAGAACATTGAAGAGACAGTTGGTTTCGGAAAAGGAACTCCCAAAATTTATGCCACTATTGATTTGGAAAAGGCAAGAGTTGGGAGGACTAGAATGATAGAAAATGAACCTAACAACCCAAAGTGGTACGAGTCTTTTCACTTGTACTGTGCTCATATGGCGTCGAATGTGATATTTACTGTTAAAGATGATAATCCCATCGGTGCAACTTTAATTGGAAGAGCTTATGTACCAGTTCACGAACTCTTGGAAGGGGAAGAAGTAGATAGGTGGGTTGAGATATTGGATAAAGATAAGAATCCTACAAGTGAAGGTTCTAAGATCCACGTGAAGCTACAGTATTTTGATGTCTTTCGGGATTGTAACTGGGCTCATGGAATTAGAAGTTCTAAGTATCCTGGGGTGCCATATACTTTCTATGCTCAGAGAACAGGATGTCGGGTTTCTTTGTACCAAGATGCTCATGTACCAGATAAATTTATTCCAAAAATCCCCCTATCTGGAGGAAAGAATTACGAGCCTCACAGATGTTGGGAAGATGTTTTTGATGCAATCATCAATGCCAAGCACTTGATTTACATTACTGGATGGTCAGTATACACTGAAATTGCCTTGATAAGGGACTCAAGGAGGCAAAAGTCGGGAGGAGACGTTACCCTTGGCGAACTGCTTAAGAAAAAAGCAAGTGAAGGTATTAAAGTTCTTATGCTTGTTTGGGACGACAGAACCTCTGTGGGTCAGTTAAAGAAAGACGGTTTAATGGCGACTCATGATGAAGAGACGGAAATCTACTTCCAAGGTACTGATGTACATTGTGTCTTATGCCCTCGCAATCCAGATAATGGCGGAAGCATTATTCAGGACATGCAAATATCCACCATGTTTACTCATCACCAGAAGATTGTGGTGGTGGATAGTGATATGCCTGGTGGAGAATCACAAAAGAGGAGAATCGTGAGTTTTGTGGGGGGTCTTGACCTCTGTGATGGAAGATACGACACCCCATTCCATTCACTTTTCAGGACATTGGATACTGCCCACCATGATGATTTCCATCAGCCAAATTTCTCTGGTGCTGCAATCACAAAAGGTGGACCAAGGGAACCATGGCACGACATTCATTCTCGTTTGGAAGGACCAATTGCTTGGGATGTTTTATTTAATTTCGAACAGAGGTGGAAGAAACAAGGTGGGAAGAACATATTACTTAACTTGAGAGAGCTCGATGATATTATTCCCCCATCTCCAGTGATGTTTCCAGATGACCATGAGACATGGAATGTTCAGTTATTTCGATCTATTGATGGCGGGGCAGCTTTTGGATTCCCTGAATCACCGGAAGAGGCAGCAAGAGCAGGTCTTGTTAGTGGGAAAGATAATATAATTGACCGAAGCATTCAAGATGCATACATTAATGCTATACGTCGAGCTAAAAATTTTATATATATTGAAAACCAGTATTTTCTTGGAAGCTGTTTTGGGTGGCATTGCGAAGATATCAAGGTTGAGGACATCGGAGCTCTTCATCTCATTCCAAAGGAGCTTTCGCTGAAAATTGTCAGTAAGATTGAGGCTGGGGAAAGGTTTACTGTCTATATTGTAGTCCCAATGTGGCCTGAAGGGATTCCAGAAAGCGCATCAGTTCAGGCCATATTAGATTGGCAAAGGAGGACAATGGAAATGATGTACAAGGATATAATTCAGGCCCTTCAAGCTAAGGGCATTGAGGAGGACCCGAGAAATTATTTGACCTTCTTCTGCCTTGGTAATCGCGAGACAAAGAAGAGTGGAGAGTATGAACCATCAGAAAAACCAGAACCTGATTCTAATTATCTAAAAGCTCAGGAGGCTCGGCGCTTCATGATCTATGTTCATACCAAGATGATGATAGGTAAGCATTGGCTTTATAATGTAATTGTTATATGCTACTGTGTAATGTGTTGATGATCTTTTTTCTTTCGCAGTGGACGATGAATACATAATCGTTGGATCAGCCAACATCAACCAAAGATCAATGGATGGTTCAAGGGATTCAGAGATAGCCATGGGAGCGTACCAACCATATCATTTGGCTACAAGTCGAACTGCTCGGGGTCAGATTCATGGTTTCCGTATGGCACTGTGGTACGAACACCTTGGTATGCTCGACAACACTTTCTTCCACCCAGAAACCGAGGAATGTATAATGAAGGTGAACCAGATTGCTGACAAATACTGGGATCTCTACGCCAGTGAAAATCTTGAACATGATCTTCCTGGTCACCTCCTCCGCTATCCCATTCGTATTGCTAGTGAAGGAGATGTCACGGAACTTCCAGGAACAGAGTTTTTCCCAGATACCAAAGCTCGTATTCTAGGTACTAAATCTGACTACCTTCCACCGATCCTTACTACCTAATGAGGTACAAGAATTGGATTGTCATTTCTAAGAAATACTGGTGTTTGTAGCGAATAAGAAATGGTACCAGTTTGACATTATAGATCTTCAGGGTTCTTTATGAGAGTTGGTGACACTGTTTTCGGGTTTAGATGTCTAATTGACTCGATGTGATTAGGAGTACTAAATGGTCTAAACACTTGTTTTTTGAGCTGTCTATGTTAGTTTTACATAACAAATGTTGCTCATTGAAGTTCATTGTTCTTCCTTGGATGGTGAACTTAGAATGACTATTGAGTTATCTTCACTTTTTTCATTGGATCAGATTTTCTAGCCTACTCTCCTATAAATTTTCCTTGAATGTAAGTAAAGAAGCATTGAACTACTGCTGATTTTTCTAGTCTATTAGGGGAATGGTATTTTGGAAGGCGGAAGCGAGACCGAGATGGTTGGTCTATATTTCTTCAACCATGTTAACTGTTGGACCAGGACACACGATATTAGATCAAGAACAGAAAACAACAAGTTTGTATACTGAAAATAAAGAGCAAAATTAAAGAACACAATAGATTTGTTTCGGCCTAAGCCCCG